CATTAACACCTACTTCTCACGTAGGGCAAAATGTTGGCTTAGGGGAGGGGTAGGTGGGCAGTTTCCCCGAAACACATAATGATCCTAATGGTGTATACGGGGATGCTTTACCCAAAAGGGCTGCGTTTTTCGGGCTTCGGCTATATAAAAAGGTAGGGATTTTATTAGCTAAAAGCGATGTAGTACTCCAAACTAGGCACGTGGAGGGGGTACCAGTTATTAAGAAAAGGTATACGAAAGGAGTACACAATTGGTATTCAATTGGGTAAGGGGTTGGAGCTCGGGGTGGAGCGGTAACCATCTACAGTTGGCTTCCGAGAACTCCCGAACCTTCTAGGGAAATCGAAACAAGTTCGGAAAATAGGGAAATGGGATGGGGAATGAATGCAAGTAACATGCCCACTTCAAAGCTTGATAAATTCACACAGCTGGACACGGTATTTAAACTGCGCTGACAAAAAAGTAAAGTCAAAGACTACATAGTTGTTATATTAATTTCAGTTTTTGGGACTACAGTACTATTTTTTTTTCGACTTGTCAGGTGCTTTAGTCATTGTTCGAGTTATCGAGGGTAAATGTATATAGAAATGATCTAAAATTGCTTCGATTTAGCGGGAGGTTCGAGTTATCGAGGGCTCGAGTTACCGAGGGTAAAATTATAGTAAATGTATGGAGGAAATTCAGGAGGAAATCGACTTTGGTTCGAGTTACTTATTGCGAGGTTCGAGTTAGCGAGGGTTCGAGTCATCGGGACTCGAGTGTATTGCAAAAGGCCTATTTTCACTTAGCCTCATTTTGAAAGTGAGAGTTTTTGGAACTCTGAAAGGGCCTACTAGGTCACCTGATTAGTCACTTTTTTAAGAACCTGTGACGCTTCAAAGGACAGAATACAAAAAATTAAAACAAACAACCAACAACAACAACAAAAAGAGACAAAAAACAAAGATAATGAAAAAATAATATTAATGACGGTAATGACTTTTACAATTGTAATCAGATCACTCAACGACAAGTATTGCGGACCAAAGTCATAGCTGGCTTTGAAAATAATTAATGATGTCAGTTAAAACCGGCAGCCAATGCAAAGAATTAAATGGAAGTATTTTCTCTCGAGAAAGTTGAGGCTCGCTGCTGTGTAGTGTTTTGAATTCTTTGTTGTTTCCATGCTCTTTTCTTCTTCTTCTTCTTCTTCTTTTTTTTTTTTTAGAACGAATCTTACAAGAACGTGGTCGCAATGACGTAGATCGTAACGTGAAGTGTCCAAAAAAGGTAAACACCTCTGTAGCTGCAAGATGTTTTTATTGGGAATGATAGGAAATGGGATGAGTGGAATGTGAAAAAAGTTGTCTTCGACGGGCGGGGAAGCTGGCCCTATAACAAGAAAAGGTTTTAGTAAAAACGTCAAACTGGGACAACAAACGGTGGCATTAGGGGTGGACGAAATAACAGAATGAAATTAATTTAAATACTTATTTATTTATTTATGTATTTATTTATTCATTCACGATTGGGAGCCTGGAAGAGGCTCTCCTCTAAAAAGTGAAAAGAAAAGTGCGCACCTGATGGGTCTTGGCGGTATTCTCCGCCAAACGAACGCTCATTCGGCTTGCCTTGAGACTAGTGTGTGTATCATGACTTGAGTTATCTTCTAACGCGTGTGTCTTGTAATTAAAGAGTCATTAAGGCTTTTTTTACCTCCAATGCTCACGTCCTTTCATGCAATCGCAATATATGATGCAATATCGTTTCCAGTATTATACCAGCTATTCTAGTCACTGAAATCTGCTAATCCACCAATATAAACTGCAAGCACTTATGACGAGAAGGTTTTAAAAACGTCCACTCTCTTAGAGAGCTAAAATGTATCTCATTTTCGCTTCAGTTAGTAGTTACTTGTTTCCGTTTTAGTTACTATATTGTTTGTTTGTTTGTTTGTTATTTACTTGGTCCTTGGCAACCCTATTGTCTTGTAAAAAAGTGACCTGGCTTACTCCCTACAAAGTTAGGACTAAAGTGTGTTTTATACCTGGTAACAACTACTTTTAAAGCGCGCGAGGCCATGTTGAGGGACAACTTAGCAGTGGCCTGAATTTTTAGAAAAAAAAATGACTTTGAAATTTTTTTTGCCAACTTATCAGAGGGACCTTTTAACAACAGAGATGCCGCGTGCTGCTGTTAGATAATGTTGCGTAAGTGTAATTAATTTTACAGACGACTGAGCGTTATTGATTGCCCTCAATTTTTGCAACGATCATAAAACGGTCTAAATTGCCATACAGGCCTTTTGAAAGGCAGAGCCTAAAGCACCTCGCAAGTTGTAGGAATGTTTTCTTCGAGAAAAACGACGCTTTTCGAAATATTTACAAGCTGCTTTATTTGTCTCGCTTTTGGAATTACAGTTGCAAACTGTCAAGGTAAGAGTATAGCATTTTTGTTTTGTATCAGCTTTTTAGAATATAGAGCATTTTTCCTGATTTTTATTAACGAAATGGCGATGCGTAAGTTTGCTAAAAGTAATACTTCAAATATGACACTAATCAAGATTACTGCCGTATGGACTACCCTTTAGTAAAGAATTAAACAAATTATGTAAGAAAAAAGAACGCAAATTTTAAGCCTTTATAAGTGTATCTCTAGTTTGAAACTATGTGTAGCATAAGCACATATTTTCCATGGGACGAGACTATGATAAATTCATGACTATGCCTACGGAATTTCACTCTCTTAACTAGCGCATGAAAACTAAGCTTTATTCTTCTTCTGTCCATGGACAGGATAATATCCTATATTATTACTTGCTTTATACACACTCTTTTTAACCAATGAAAAGTTGCGTTATTTATTTTTGATATTTTAAATTAAGAAACAATTTTAAGTCCACTTTTTCTACAAGTATGACTTGACCGATATAGGCCACGAGCAGACCTTTCTGTTTTCGAACTTTGAATTTGTGCTGTGCATTATACGCCATTCGACACTAACGCGTAATCGTTCGTAATCCTTAGGATGTATGAAGAGGCTATATCACGTGATTTTCTCACGATTTGAAGCTCACTCCCCTACTCAGTTTCTATAATGTAAAACTTACTTCCATTCTAGTGGCACATTTTATTTTAAGCTCAGTTGCTATGGCAATAACTTCCATGAACTGAAATATTAAAATGAAAGAAAAATAAATGTATTTCCATCAAGCCCTAGATTAGATTTGTTTAAAAGGTATTAATAAGAGAAGAGTAACATCCGTAGAAATTCCTTATAGTTCATGAAAGACCTTTAAAAAAGGACGTCTTGTATTGCACTGCAGACACTTTTGCATACATTTTCATGTTGGATATTGGCTTTGAAACATAAGACAATTCCTAATCTTTCTTTTGTTTCCTCTGGTCGCAGCATCCTTTTAGAAGCATGTCACACCATCTTGTTATACCAGAATTTAAGTTATAGTTATATGTTATTGTCAATTCCGCTAAATATCTGCACACACAGGAAAACGTACAACAACTAAAAACGTGAAAGTGTTAACTAAACAGATTTTAAAACAAACTACACCATGTAGCTTCCAATTTCTAGGCTTTTTCGGTTAGCCTTTTCATGTGAAGATTACCGTTTTGTTTTGTTTTGTTTTTTTAGTATATATTCATAGATTTAAGTATTGGTTGAAAAACGGAAGTCCGTATCGTAAGATATGGAAAGTTTGGTTGAGGTTTTAGAACGAAAATATTTGGTGAAATTATTAATTCATATTTTTGATACGTAATGATGGTGATAAAATCATAGCTGCAGGCGGGCATTGTCTATGACTAGGCATGAATTTTTGAAACCTCGAGGCAGGGTTTGCCTATTTAGCATTTCTTCTAAACCTCAACCCATAAGAAAAAGGTTAAAAAAAAAAGGTTTAATGGCTTGTTTAAAGTGGAAAGTGCACTTAGCTCATCCAGTTACTTTACGGGCACTCCACTCAAATACTTAGAAACAAATAATTCAAGTACAACATAACAGGGCAGGATTAACAACTCCATCTGGTAGGAGGCAACCAGTTGGCTATTCACAAGCGTGGCCGAGGATTTGAACTCGGGATGAACAAGAACAAATCCAGCAATTCGCCAGAGCGGAACTCGAACATGGGACCGCCGGATTGGAAGTCCGGCGCGCTGACCACTCGGCCACGCTACCTCGTTATAACCCTTACCTAACATGCGAAAAAAGTAACTCCTCAAGTTAACAAACCATGGTGCTCTTTAAATGTTAAAACTCTCTTAATGAGATATTATGGATAGATCAAAGCTGTTAATCTATCTTTTTCTTTTTCTACGCCTCAATATATCTTTATTAGGAAACACCAAGGTCACATACGTTGAAAAAGTACATAGACGTGTTCTCTTCTGAAACAGTTCACTCTATAACTTTGAAAAAAAAATGCTCCTGGGGTCAACATTACCGGGAAAATATTCATAGTGAAATTAACATAACGTAGACTTTTTGCAATATCTCTAGACACGTAACAAAGATTGTCTTATGCAGTCTGGCTTAATGGAAACCACTCTTGCACAACAGAAGTTCCAGATATTGCAGATTATTTGGTGTCGATATCGTCAATATCGAGCATGTGGTGGGGTCCTCCACATTAATACCTGCTGCCGGAATTGAAATAGATAACCACACAAAAGAATATACATCCGGAATATACGTAAGAGAAGGTATAACATTACACGCAATAACCGCAAATGCTATAAACTTGACTACGGACAGGTTATGGGTTGTCTTAATATGTTAGCTCAAATGCAAACACGTTAACAATCCGTGTCCGCGCCTAAAGAATGAAAGCATTGTGTGCCATGCTGAGTCATACTCTATTTCTACTTTTTGCCAAACAATGACCTTAATTGATAGGGGAAAGATTCTTTAAATGATAAATAAAGGGACGTGAAAAAAAAAATAATAATAATAAACAAACAAACAAACAAAAACAATATACAGTGTAAATATGCTCTCTTTCGTCAGATGCCTGTTCTTTGAGACCATGCCAAAATGGAGGAAACTGTACGGTTGACGGCAGTAGCAGCTACATTTGTGAATGTCCTTTGGGAATTGGTGGCCAAAACTGTACCGAAGGTATCAATTAATGTTCTTGAAATACATTTAACCATGCAGCCGTTTTTCAATTTACATGTAGTTTGATACAATGAGTGTCGTTGATCATGTGATTGACTCTACGTTCAAGAAATTGGAACAATATCTACAAAAAGGGACAAGAGTGTTGAGACGCTTCCATATAGAAATATCCATTTCCCCCGCGTGTAACCCTACCCCTTCCCCCAAGTTAATAATTTTTATTTTCGACTCCAGATTCTTTCTTCAACTACAAACAACATTGATTCGGGGGGTGGGGGATTAACGGCCTTTAAGCAAAGTTGTTTAATAAATGAAATTGTCCATAAAAGCGCGCGTTTTATAGAAGTCTGTCAACTGCTTTTTGTCACTGATTGTAGCCTCAAGGCAAAAGAAATTCTCGACACTTTAACCAATACTTTGTTTTAGTTAGTATATATATTTTCTTATCAGCTCTTTTTATGACTTGATGACTTGATAACGACGTAAGTGAAACCTCGAAACGTCGTTATTAACGAAGACGATTTTAAGCAGTATTTATAGCGAAATATCTTACGGTACGCTTAGCTGGAGGTCATTATTTAATTTCCCCAACAGACGTAGTGAACGAGTGTGATTCAGCACCTTGCAAACATGGTGGGAATTGTACAGACGGTCTCGGAAGGTTTGATTGTGAGTGTCCACAGGATTACGCTGGTCGCCAGTGTGAATTAGGTAAGACAAATTACGCTTTTTACCTTGCAAGAAAAACTCAAGATCATGGCCATGACTTTAAAATGACGTTGCTCCGCAGAAAAGCCCATGTACGTTTTTTTTTTACTCGACCCCATAATATATTGATTACCTAAACCAACGTCAAAAGCGAAGTTCTCGTGCAATCTTTGCAGAGATATCTTTCTGGAGTAATTCACCTTTTGTCATAAGAGAGAAGCAAACTGAATCCCTCCTGAATGAATAGACTTGAGCCAGCGATCAACTGAAATCCAACAACTAGTCAGCGTCACCTCAATAAATAAATTGTACACATGAGCCCACTATTCAATCTTGTCACACTGGTCAGCGGATACGCAATTTTGACAGCTGTCAGTTGACCATAACATGGATGCCGAATATCAAGTTGCTGGACATACATCTCGCGCTCGAGAGCTCCGGTATTAACTACTTTACTTCCCTTTTGTATTAATAGCTTGCGTTTCACAAACATTCAACCTTGTGTTCGTCGTTGACGGATCAGGAAGCATAGAGAACCCCCAAAAAGGAAACTTTCAGCGTGCAAAAGACTTCATTATTGAAATAGTAAAGTCTTTTAACATCGGAAAAGAAGCAACACAAGTAGCACTGGTGCTTTACAATAATGAACCGGAGGTTGTCTTTAAATTTAAATACAAGTTTGATGAAATAGAGGAAGAGATCCAAGATATGAAGCACCCAGGCGGAGGTACTAACACAGGCAAAGCACTGGACGAAGTACGCAATGATGTCTTTAAAAAACTGAAGAAAGAGCGCGAAGATCTTCCAAAGGTCGTTGTGGTAGTGACTGACGGACGTTCTCAAGATAACGTATCAGTACCCGCTCAGCAGCTTCGCGATGATGGTGCAACTATTATCAGTCTTGGGGTTGGTTGCTGCTTTGACGAGGATGAACTTAACGAAATGGCTACTGATCCCGATGAAAAGCACGTTTTAGAAGCAAGTTTTTCAGAATTGGATAAATTTAAAGATGCAATGAAAGAACAAATTTGCTCTGGTGAGTTACCTGCTAGAATATCTTGTCCTCTACATTGTATATAACACTGGACAACCAAATCATCAAGCGTCCACCTTTTCCAAATTTGAGGTACTATAGGTTTCACAATTCTCCTTTGTGTTGGTTGGCTGTTTATTTGTACTTGCGCGGGGAGGAAAGAAAGAGAGGGTTGTTTGCAAACAAACGTGGCCCGTTACATTATCAACCTAATCATATGGGAAAAGGTATGCACCGTCTGCCCTCATAATTTTTGTCATCTTCATCAACAACACTAAAGTCATCATCATTTATATCCTCATTATCGTCATCGTTGCCCTCGTCATCATCATCATCATCATCACCATCATCATCATCATCGTCATAAATGAGGGGTCATGTAACAGCTGCTCGAAAGAGAAGTCACCGATGGTGCGTTTCTCTGACCCAAAACAATACTAAAACAATTTGAATTTTGGCATGTCATTGTTTTCTGCAACCAATTAGGAGTGACCTTACGGGCAGCTCCTACACGATTCTGAAAATAGCTTAAGAAGAGATAAAGTGCAAGCGGCAGTCACGAGGAATCGCAGCTTTTAATGACGTTTTGTTTCCTTGTGTACTGATATGTAAGTCCTTTTTATTTGTTATTTTTAGCGGTTGACTTTTGCTCAAGTAACCCTTGCCTGAATAATGGAACATGCACCAGTTTAACAAGTGATTTTCAATGTCAATGTACACCTGGTTGGCAAGGAAAAGACTGCGGCAACGGTTGGTACTACATGTCTATAAACAACTAATCCGTGTCCACCTTACAGGATTAAGCTGCCTTTAACTCTGCTATTTATTTGTTTTTGTTCTTTTAGATATCGATGAGTGTGCTATTAACAGCACTCAGTGCGGGGATAAACAAGTTTGTCATAACTTCCCTGGCGGATTTACATGTCTTGGTAGGTCAGCGGTTACCGACCGGAATGGGTGCGAATTTTGAACCACCGTGTTAAAAATAAGATAATTTTGGAGCATGCCAGTAGTGTCACTATATCTTGCCCTTCTCCATTATTCTGGAAATCTGATATTTAAATTCAAAGCTGTAAAATACAAATGGCCTGTAATGGAGAAAACAATAAAATTAAATGAAAATTAAATAAATAAATCTAAAAATTGCCACGGTGATAACTGTTCTATCCGTAAGTAGTGTAGTACCTTCACACATCTCCCCGGAATTCGAATCTTTACTTTAGAAATATTATAGATGTGCATAAATTAAGGAGATAACAAATGAAAGCAAAAATAATCTTTAAAGGTTTTAAACTAAACGTTTTAATTCTCACCGATTTCTCACTGAGTTAAGATCGGGAAAGGTTGTTATATCGTCATTTAATATGAAGCAAAAAGGTGTTAGAATCCAGGAGAACAGTGTTATAATAAATGAAGAGAAGAGATTGCTCGTTACAGTGCAATAGAATGTAAATATCTTTGTGAAAAAAATAAGTAAACAGATAAATAAATAAACACAATATACAGTGTAGATATATCCTCTTTCATCAGACGCCTGTTCTTTGAGACCATGCCAAAATGGAGGAAACTGCACGGTTAACGACAGTAGCAGCTACATCTGTGAATGTCCTTTTGGAATTGGAGGCCAGCACTGTACCGAAGGTATCAGTTATTGTTCTTGAAATATATTTAACCACTCAACTTACGTAGTTTAATACGACAAGTGTGCTTAGTCATGAAATTGACACTTCCTTAAAATAACTTGGAACAATATCGACAAACTGAGGGACAAAAGTGATGAGACACTTCCATATAGAAATGTCCATACCCTACCCTTGTGTTACCCTGTGTTACCCCCTGTGCATGACTGGGTGTGCTCCAGCATACCTAACATCAAATTTCATAGAAAGATCGGCCGTTTCGAAAAGGACATGTTGAGAATACCACTTTTCTGCACCAGCACAAATTCACTGCGCTGTTTTTTAGCGCACACAGAACGAGCACAGCACCTATCTGCTGAAAATGGGCAGCACTGCCCTTTGCAGATCAGACATTTAAATTTAGATTCCGCACTGCTAGTAGCCAAAGGTCCTTCGAATATAGAGCGACGTTCCGTTGGAGTAAGTTGCAACCAGAGCTCAACTAAGCGAATCCGTTAAAAGGTTTAATTGTCAACTTAGACGACTTGTTCTGGACACCACCTTTAGTTAGTTAAATACCTTTCGTGTTTTTAGCTTTTTGTGTTTAATATTATTAATGTAACATTGACTCTCAAAAGCCCTGAGGGGACGAGCCTATTAAATTATTACGTATGCATGTACCCTACTCCTTTCCCAAACCAATGTTGAACTTTCGACCGTCGATTTTTCACTCTGAACTGTCTTAGCATTGATTCGGGGGATGGGAGATTGACGGCCTTTAAGATAAGTTGTTTGATAAATTAAACTGTCCATAAAAGCGTTTTACACAAGTCTGTCAAACGCTCTTTGTTACTGATTGTAGCCGCAAGCCTAAAGAATTTCTCAACACTTTAACTAGTACTTTGTTTTAGCAGTTGTATTAATATTTTCTTATCAGCTCTTTTTATGGCTTGTTACTGATGTTACGAGGAACCTTAAAACTTAGTTTCTAAAGAAAACGATTTTAGGCAGTATTGTATATAGCGAAATATCTTACGGTACGTTTAGCTGGAGGTCATCATTTTTATTGTCCCCAACAGACTTAGTGAATGATTGTGATTCATCACCTTGCATACATGGTGGGACTTGTACCGACGGCTTAGGAAGTTTTGATTGTGAGTGTCCACAGGATTATGCTGGTCGCCAGTGTGAATTAGGTAAGACAAATTACGCTTTTTATCTTGTAACTAAAACTCAAGGTCAAGGCCATGACTTAAAAATTACGTTACTTCGCAGAAATGGCCATTTACTTTGTTTTACTCGACCCTATAATATATTAATTAAAGCAAAGTCAAAAGCGAAGTGCTGGTGGGATCTTTGAAGAAATGTCTGTCTGGAGTCAATAATTAAAAACTTTCGTCATAAGAAAGAAGCAAACTGAAGCTTTCCTGAAAAACAATGGACTTGAGTCAGCAATCAATTGAAATCCGATAACTAGTCAGCATCACCTTATTATAGAAATTACACACGTAAGCCCACTATTCATGACTATTCAGGCGAGTTACACTGGTCAGCGGATACGCTATTTAAACAGGTAGGTACTGTCAGTTGACCATAACATGGATGTCCATTATCAAGTTAAAAACATATTTTACGGATATGTCTAGCTCGAAAGTGTGACATTTGACATCCGCTAACATATTGGGCTTACGGATGGGCGATTTTATTGCAGGGGGTGTTCTACTGCGCATGGGCATGGTATTAACTACTTTACTTTACTTTTGTATTAATAGCTTGTGTTTCACAAACATTTAACCTGGTGTTCGTCGTTGACGGATCAGGAAGTATAGAGGACCAAGAAAAAGGAAACTTTCAGCGTGCAAAAGACTTCATTATTGAAATAGTAAAGTCTTTTAACATCGAAAAAGACGCAACACAAGTAGCACTAGTGCTTTACAATAGTAACCCGGACGTTGTCTTTCAATTCAAATACAACTTTGATGACATAGAGGAAGAGATCCAAGAAATGGATTACCCAGGCGGAGGTACAAAGACAGGCAAAGCACTAGACAAAGTACGCAATTATGTCTTTAAAAAATTGAAGAAAGACCGCGAAGATCTTCCAAAGGTCGTTGTGGTAGTGACTGACGGACGTTCTCAAGATAACGTAGCAGTACCCGCTCAGCAGCTTCGCGATGATGGTGCAACTATTATTAGTCTTGGGGTTGGTTGCTGCTTTGACGAGGATGAACTCAACGAAATGGCTACTGATCCCGATGAAAAACACGTTTTAGAAGCAAGTTTTTCAGAATTGGATAAATTCAAAGATGCAATGAAAGAACAGATTTGCGCTGGTGAGTTTTTTTGCTAGAATATCTTGGATTCTACCATATATTTAACACTGGACTCTTAATTCTTGTCATCTTTATCAACAACGCTAAGGGCATCATCATTAATATCATCATTATCGTCATCGTTGTCGTCATCGTTGTCGTCATTATTGTCATCATCATCATCATCATCATCATCATCGTCATCATTAAGAGTATAAGAAGAGATACGGTGAAAGAGGCAGTCGTTCACGAGGCACCGCAGCTTTTAATGACGTTTTTTTCGTTATTTACTGATATGAAATTTCTTTTTACTTGTTATATTCAGCGGTTGACTTTTTTTCTAGTATCGTTGTCGTCATTATCATCATCATCACTCATCATCATCATCATATCATCATCATCGTCATCATTAAGAGCATAAGAAGAGATAAGATGCAAGCGGCAGTCGCGAGGCATCGCAGCTTTTAATGACGTTTTGTTTCCTTGTGTACTGATATGTAAGTCCTTTTTATTTGTTATTTTTAGCGGTTGACTTTTGTTCCAGTAACCCTTGCCTGAATAACGGGACGTGCACCAGTTTAACAAGTGATTTCCAATGTCAGTGTACACCTGGTTGGCAAGGAAAAGACTGCAGCAAGGGTTGGTACAACATGTCTTTAAACAACTGATCCGTGTCCACCTTATGAGTTTAAGCTAACCTTTTACTCTGATATTTATTTGTTTTTGTTCGTTTAGATATTGATGAGTGTGCTATTAACAGCACTCAGTGCGGGGATAAACAAGTTTGTCATAACTTCCCTGGTGGATTTACATGCCTTGGTAGGTCAGCAGTTACCGAGTGGAATGGTTGCAAATTTTGAACCACCGTGTTAAAAATGAAATAAGTTTAAGTAACTAAAATTGTCATTTAATCAAAGAGCATGCCAGTAGTTTCATTATATTACCCTTCTCCATCTATTCTGGTAATCTAATATTTAAACTCAAATCTGTAAAATATAAATCGCTTGTAATATAACATACATGGAGAAAACATTAAAATTAAATGAAAATTAAATAAATGAATCTAACAACCGCCACGGCGATAACTGTTCTATCCGTATGGTAACATAGTACCTTATTTATACATCGCCCCGGAATTCGACTCTTTAATTTAGAAATATTTTGGATGTGCATCAATTAAGGAGATAATAAATGGAAGCAACAATAATCTTTAAAGGTTTTAAACTAAACGCTTTAATTTTCACTGATTTCTCACTGAGTTAAGATCGCAAAAGGTTGTTATATCGTTATTTGATATGAAGCAAAAAATGTGTTAAAATCTCGGAAAACAGTGCGATACATAAATGAAGAGAAGAGATCTTTGCTAGTTACAGTGCAATAGAATGTAAATATCTTTGTGGAAAAATCAGTAAATAGATAAACAAATAAAACAATATTCCCTGTAAATATTTCCTCTGTCATCAGACGCCTGTTCTTTGAGACCATGCCAAAATGGAGGAAACTGCACGGTTGACGACAGTAGCAGCTACATCTGTGCATGTCCTTTGGGAATTGGAGGCCAGAACTGTACCGAAGGTATCAGTTATTGTTCTTGAAATATATTTAACCACTCAACTTACGTAGTTTAATACGACAAGTGTGCTTAGTCATGAAATTGATACTTCCTTAAAATAACTTGGAACAATATCGACAAACTGAGGGACAAAAGTGATGAGACACTTCCATATAGAAATGTCCATCCCCTACCCTTGTGTTACCCTGTGTTACCCCTGTGCATGACTGGATGTGCTACAGCATAATTAACATCAAAGTTCAAAGAAAGATCGGCCGTTTCGACAAGGACCAGGAAGTCGAACATGTTGAGAATGCCACTTTTCTGCACCAGCACAAATTCACTGCAGTGTTTTTTAGCGCACATAGCATGAGCTCAGCACCTCTCTACTGAAGATAGGCTGCACTGCCCATTGCAGATCAGACGTTTAGATTAACACTTTAAGTAGTACTTTGTTTTAGCTTGTACTAATATTTTCTTTTCAGCTCTTTTTATGGCTTGTTAATGATTGTACGAGGAACCTTAAAACTTAGTTTCTAACGAAAACTATTTTAGGCAGTATTTTATATAGCGAAATATCTTACGGTACGTTTAGCTGGAGATCATCATTTTTATTGTCCCCAAAAGACTTAGTGAATGATTGTGATTCATCACCTTGCATACATGGTGGGACTTGTACAGACGGTCTCGGAAGGTTTGAGTGTCAGTGTCCACAGGATTATGCTGGTCGCCAGTGTGAATTAGGTAAGGTAGATTGCGTTTTTTTTTACCTTGCAAGAAAACTCAAGATCGTGGCCATGACTTAAAAATTACGATTCTTTGCAAAAAGCGCCACTTACTTTGTTTTACTCGACCCTGTAAGAAATTGATTAAAGCAAACTAAAAAGCGAAGTGCTCGTGGGATCTTTGAAGAAATATCTGTCTCGAGTAATTAAACTTTCTTCATTAGAAAGAGGCAAACTGAAGCTTTCCTGAAAAACAATGGACTTGAGTCAGCAACCAATTGAAATCCAATACCTAGGCAGCATCACCTTGTTATGGAAATTACACCCGTAAGCCCAGTATTCATGACTATACAGGCAAGTTACACTGGTCAGCGGATACGCTATTTAAACAGCTTTCAGTTGACCATAACATGGATGTCCATTATCAAGTTAAACACATATTTTACTGATATGTCCAGCTCGAAAGTCTGACATTTCACATCCGCTAACATATTGGGCTTACGGATGGGCGATTTTGTCGCAACCAAGATTTCTTGGTTGCATAGATGACAAAATTGTATTGCAGATGGTGTTCTACTACGCATGCGCATGGCATTAACTCCTTTACCTTACTTTTGTATTAATAGCTTGTGCTTCACAAACATTTAACCTGGTGTTCGTCGTTGACGGATCAGGAAGCATAGAGAACCAAGAAAAAGGAAACTTTCAGCGTGCAAAAGACTTCATTATTGAAATAGTTAAGTCTTTTAACATCGAAAAAGACGCAACACAAGTAGCACTAGTGCTTTACAATAGTAACCCGGACGTTGTCTTTGAATTCAAATACAACTTTGATGACATAGAGGAAGAGATCCAAGAAATGGATTACCCAGGCGGAGGTACCAATACAGGCAAAGCACTAGACAAAGTACGCAATTATGTCTTTAAAAAATTGAAGAAAGATCGCGAAGATCTTCCAAAGGTCGTTGTGGTAGTGACTGACGGACGTTCTCAAGATAACGTATCAGTACCCGCTCAGCAGCTTCGCGATGATGGTGCAACTATTATTAGTCTTGGGGTTGGTTGCTGCTTTGACGAGGATGAACTCAACGAAATGGCTACTGATCCCGATGAAAAACACGTTTTAGAAGCAAGTTTTTCAGAATTGGATAAATTCAAAGATGCAATGAAAGAACAGATTTGCGCTGGTGAGTTACCTGTTAGAATATCTTGGATTCTACTACGTATTTAACACTGGGCTCTTAATTCTTGTCATCTTTATCAACAACGCTAAGGGCATCATCATTAATATCATCATCATCGTCATCGTTGTCGTCATTATTCTCATCATCATTATCATTATCATTATCATTATCATCATCATCATCATCGTCATCATCATCATCATCATCATCATCATCATCATCATCGTCGTCATCATTAAGAATATAAGAAGAGATACGATGGGAGAGGCAGTCGTTCACGAGGCATCGCAGCTTTTAATGACGTTTTTTTCGTTATTTACTGATATGTAATTTCTTTTTACTTGTTATTTTCAGCGGTTGACTTTTGTTCCAGTAACCCTTGCCTGAATAACGGGACATGCACCAGTTTAACAAGTGATTTCCAATGTCAGTGTACACCTGGTTGGCAAGGAAAAGACTGCAGCAAGGGTTGGTACAACATGTCTCTAAACAACGGATCCGTGTCCACCTTACAGGATTAATCTGCCCTTTTACTCTGCTATTTATTTGTGTTTGTTCTTTTCGTTATCGATGAGTGTGCAATTAACACCACTCAGTGCGGGGATAACCAAGTGGATTTACGTGGCTAGGTCGGTTAGCGGTCACCGAGCGGAATGGCCACGAATTTTGAACCGCCGCGTTAAAAAGATAATATTTTAAGTCTTTTCGGGGTTTTTCCCCCATTTTAATTAACTAGTGATAGAGGGAAACGGAAACAGCAGAGATATATTCCAGAAAAAAAAACAGAACAAAACAAAACAAAAAAAAAACTTTGAAACATTTGTAGAAGAGCCGCTGGCACAACTGAGTGAAAGGCTAAAGCAAATTATTCTCGAAAGGAACGTGAACTTTAAAGCTAATGCTCACCTGAATGAAACAGCCTTAGATAATATCCAGTCAATTTAAAACCCTAGATGGAAAGCTACCTTGACATAAGCAGCTTGCAAATCTCGGGTTACTATATTATAACTGACAGTCGCTCGTTTTCAACAGCCGACAACACGTTGTATAGACCACAATTTTTCTACCTACGTGACTTCAAGTACAAGTGGTAGCATTGCTCTGGAAATAGCTGATCATCTACCGGTGAAAAGACAACTCAAAATTGTTTAACGAAAAGAACACTTTGTTACTATCATCTTGCTCAGTATTTATCACTGCCATCCCGACCCGTATGTTTTATATTTATTATATTTATTAATTCTAAATTTTTCCCTTTTGTTCTTTTATTCTTTGTAACACTGTAGTTTAATCCAAGGGCATGTCTGATTTCGACAGCTGTCAATTTATCTTTATGCGGATGCCTTTCATTACTGACAGGATAAATAAAGTCATGTCATTTTGTGCAAGATCTAATGTGGCAATTGGCATCGGCTTACATGTAATGTGTGAGCGGGCGGGCAGGCGTACGCTACATCAAAACCAAACTTTGTTGCGTCCATACTGCGCCTGACTTTAATCATCTGTGTTTCCGTCTCAGGCGATAATGATGACGATGATGGTGTCTCAGGTTCAGGCTCAGACTCAGGCTCAGGATCACACTCAGGATCACGGTCAGGGTCAGGGTCAGACTCAGGCTCAGGCTCAGGCTCCGACTCAGGGTCAGGTTCAGGATCAGACTCAGGCTCAGGCTCAGGGTCGCACTCAGGCTCAGGCTCAGGCTCCGACTCAGGGTCAGGTTCAGGGTCAGAGCTCAGGCTCAGGCTCAGGCGATGGCTCAGACGATGGCTCAGGCGAAGGCTCAGGCGATGGCAATGGCGATGGCTCAGGCGATGACGATGACGATGATGATGCTGATGGTAATGGTGATGATGATGATGACGATGATACAGGGCTGCGCGGAGATACAAAATTTCTCCTCGAGTGTTTCAACACGGGAAGAGAAACGTCATATCTCCAAGCGGCCATGTAATGTCTTGTTTATTATAACAACAATGAAATGCCTAACTATTTCATTTTTGAACAGTTTTTTGCTGCATAAGAAGCGGATTTTTATGTAGCCATAGCAACGGTGATCTTTTCACATCTGAGAAAAACATGTTATTTTCACATGTGAAGATATCATGTTTTCGCACGAAAGCTCACCTGGTATTTCATTTGTGTTTATATAATAAGAATTTGTATTATATTCCTTTAGTTTTACTTCTTGTGCTAGCTCTTCGCCGTCAAAGCAAATTCCCAAAGTTGCAGAATCTCTTCATTGGCTTCTCCACGAGTTTTAAACGATTTTAACTTTTTTTTTTGATAGATATTTTTGGAATAACGATGTCAGATCCTGCATATCAGATTTATTGTTAGTCCTTTGCAAAATGCAAGAGAGAGCAATCTCTTATTTAGGAGTATCTTACTTTGTTTTACAGTGAAGTTACCATGCTATGATAGCCCTTGCAAAAACAACGGAACATGTCACCCTCATTCAGATAACTACACCTGTGAATGTCTTCCAGGTTTTATGGGGGAACAGTGTCAAGGTACCTTAGTGTTTTTTTATATAAAACTTAAAAAAATTACTTGGTTCCTGGATAGATATTTGATATTTGATAGATATTTTTTGGAATAACGATGTCATATCCTGCATAACAGATTTATTGCTAGTCCTTCGCAAAATGCAAGAGAGAGCAATGTCTTATTTAGGAATATCTTACTTTGTTTTACAGTGAAGTTACCATGCTATGATAGCCCTTGCAAAAACAACGGAACATGTCACCCTCATTCTGATAACTACACCTGTGAATGTCTACCAGGTTTTACGGGGGGAAAGTGTCAAGGTACCTTAGTGTTTTTTATATAAAACTTAAAAAATTACTTGGTTCCTGGATAGATATTTGATACTTGATAGATATTTTTTGGAATAACGATGTCATATCCTGCATATCAGATTTATTGTTAGTCCTTCGCAAAATGCAAGAGAGAGCAATGTCTTATTTAGGAATATCTTACTTTGTTTTACAGTGAAGTTACCATGCTATGATAGCCCTTGCAAAAACAACGGAACATGTCACCCTCATTCTGATAACTACACCTGTGAATGTCTACCAGGTTTTATGGGGGAACAGTGTCAAGGTACCTTAGTGTTTTTTATATAAAACTTAAAAAAATTACTTGGTTCCTGGATAGATATTTGATATTTGATAGATATTTTTTGGAATAACGATGTCATATCCTGCATAACAGATTTATTGCTAGTCCTTCGCAAAATGCAAGAGAGAGCAATGTCTTATTTAGGAATATCTTACTTTGTTTTACAGTGAAGTTGCCATGCTATGATAGCCCTTGCAAAAACAACGGAACATGTCACCCTCATTCTGATAACTACACCTGTGAATGTCTACCAGGTTTTATGGGGGAAAAGTGTCAAGGTACCTTAGTGTTTTTTATATAAAACTTAAAAAATTACTTGGTTCCTGGATAGATATTTGATACTTGATAGATATTTTTTGGAATAACGATGTCATATCCTGCATATCAGATTTATTGTTAGTCCTTCGCAAAATGCCAGAGAGAGCAATGTCTTATTTAGGAATATCTTACTTTGTTTTACAGTGAAGTTACCATGTTATGAAAGCCCTTGCAAAAACAACGGAACATGTCACCCTCATTTTGATAACTACACCTGTGAATGTCTACCAGGTTTTATGGGGGAACAGTGTCAAGGTACCTTAGTCTTTTTTATATAAAACTTAAAAAAGTACATGTTTCCTGGAAGTTTAACAATGATGTCACTCTACAATGGACCTATTCAGCTTGCATGTTTTGTTTTCCCCATAGGCCATTTGCAAGATGGCGTCATTATTCTACTTCAGGGTTTTCCTTTCTTGTTGTTTTGTTATTTAACACCACTAGGGTTAGTAAGTTAAATTGTTATATAGCTGGACATATTTTCCCAACAGCGCACGCACTTATTGGTTACTTCGAGGTCACATGACATCCAACAATGAAGCTATTTCCCGTCAAAATGTCTGAGCGGGCAACATTGCAAAATCTATGACGTCATAGGGTAGCAGTGCACTGTTACCCAGGAATGTTGACCGAAGACCTCCGGTAAAGCGAGGTTTAGTGAATTTTCAACTTCAAAATTTCCAGCTGTATAACAAATCACTTAAAGGCTTGTCGCTCGGGGAACATTTAATTTTATATCCCTCAGGACCAGTCATTGAGTGTTTAATATGAAAGAAAAACGAAGTGAATTCTGGTCTAACTAGTAAAAAGACGTCATAGTGCAAATGTCCTATAGACGTCCCAGGGGAACTGATCCTTTGTCTTTTCTTGAATTATTAGATATGCACTTAAATAAGACGAAATTTGAAAGAAACAGTTCTGTAGAGTATTACTCTGTATCGCATGACTTGTTTTGTAAAAACAAAAAATACAAGCTGAAGAGGTTAATTGATTTTCGGGCAATTTTGAGCAATTCTGACTTTTCTTCTATCTTGACATATCTCTTTTTCAGTGATAAATCATTGCTACGATGAGCCATGTAAAAACAATGGGTCGTGTGTCATCAATGGGGATTCTTACCAGTGCACGTGTCCCGCCACATTTACTGGGCCAGACTGTGAAGGTAAACATACAAGGCTATGCTTACACTCTTTATCGGAACTCTTCACTCTTCATCGGAACCTATCCGATACGTGATGAACCATTTCCGAGATCGGCGTGGTGCAGCTTCTCTCCGTTACAGAAATCGCACCGAAATCACCGTTGTTAGGGAGTGTTAGCAACGACAACGGCGACGGCAACGGCAACGAGAACGCCAAAAAAGCAATGGGTTTGTTAAGCAAAACAACAATTTTGCGCGTGCATCGCATTTGCGGATTTTGTACATTTCTTTGCCGTCACTGCACGACTACCACATGAAAATGCCCGATTTCACGCTTTATGGAGGACGTAGCCAAGCGACGACGAATTTTTCTTTCTTTTTCTAAACTTGGGTGCGGTCCCCAAGAAATCAACTCTAGGAAAATTCGCCTGCATTTGACATTTTCAGCAGATGGGAATAAACGAGACAATGTTTGAAAAAAGGCGAATGCCTTATCAAAGTTACGTTTTCGCTACCGTCGCCGTCGCCGTCGCCGTCGTCGACTCTAAAGGTGATGAGACGACTCGCAACAACGATTTTTAGCGTAACAAGCGTTGCAATGTTGGAACAATGTTGCAACCATTCGAAACAACGTTGCAACAATGTTGTAATGCTGTGTTGCGCTGAAAATCGTCGTTGCGAAGCGTCTCGTGTAACATCACCTTAAAGCTGCCCGTCATAGATGAACAGAAGCCCTAGCCGGTATGGTTTTTGCGCCGGCGCAAAGCTAACCGGTATAGTGTGAATAGACATACCGTAAAATTCGGAAAATAAGCCCCTCCATGTATAGGCCCCTCCAAATATAAGTCCCCCAAACCGGTGACGCAAAAAACCCTCCGTTAAATCGGCCCTCCAAATATAATCCTCCCAGGGAATTGTACTTGGAAAATTGCCCTCAAATACAAAGTAAAACAACACAAAAACGGTAATTTACTTCCAACTATAAGGCTCGCCCAATCGATTTGTAAACCCAAATTTCCCTCCGTAGATAAGTTCCTCCGAATATGAGCCCGTCCAAAAATAATCCCCTCAAAAAGGGCCTTTGAAAAAATATAAGCCCCGGGGCTTATTTTCTGAATTTTACGGTAGCCTTACAATGCATATTCACCCCATTGACTAATATAGCAGATTGATTGATGCCTCGGATGATTAATTTGTTAGCTGTGGACTGCCTTTGAAAATGCTTTCCCCGCTTTTTTTTCAGTGAAGTTACACTGTTCTGATAACCCTTGCAAAAACAAGGGGACATGCGATGAGCATTTTGATAATTACACTTGTGACTGTCTACCAGGTTTTACGGGAGATCAGTGTCAAGGTAAGGATCATTGTCTTCCTTGTGAAATATCATAAGATTTTATCAGGTCTGGGATGTTGACTGTACTTTGGCACTATACTTGTTTTTGTTTATTGTTTCTTGTTTTTTGCTTTTTCCCACGGTTTTCAGCTACCGTAAAATTCCGAAAATAAGCCCCTCCAAATATAAGCCCCTCAAAATTGTAACGCAAAAAACCCTCCGTTAAATGGAATTTGCCCTCGAATACAAAGTAAAACAAAGCAAAAATGGTAAATTTCCTTCCACTACAAGCTAGCCCAATCGATTTTGAAAGCAAATTTCCCTCCGTAGATAAGCCCCTCCGAATATAAGCCCCTCCAAAAATAAGCCCCTCAAAAAGGGGCCCGGGCCCGGGGCTTATTTTCGGAATTTTACGGTATTCTTACATTTCTTACGTTTCGGAAAACCTCTTCTTCAGGGGAAGATCACTGCTACGATGAGCCATGTAAAAACAATGGATCTTGTGTCAACTCTGAAGATGGTTACCAGTGCATCTGTTCAGAAAAGTTTACTGGAGCAAGATGTGAAGGTAAATTTAACGATGCATTTTTACCTCGGTACTTAACTGTTATGAAGCTTGTTGGGCATGTTTGTTTAGGATTCACTTTAAAATCGATGATTTTCTTTTCTTTTCTTTTACTAAACAGTGATGTCACACTGCTACGATGACCCTTGCAAAAACAACGGGACATGTCGCGATCATTCTGTTAACTACACGTGTGAATGTCTACCAGGTTTCATGGGAGAATTGTGTCAAGGTAAACATTCATGAAGTTATTCTCGACAAACTCACGAAAATTCATAAAAGTATATCAGGCCTAGAATCACTCTATACATGTTTGTTCCAAAATTTAATGGGAAGTGCTGACTATATTTATGCCTGGAGATATTTATTTCAGTTATAGATCATTGCTACGATGAGCCATGCCTAAACAATGGATCTTGTGCCAGTTCTGAGAGCGGTTACAAATGCACATGTCCCGCAGCTTCTACTGGACCAAATTGTGAAGGTGAATGCTAGAAATGAACTAAGGCCCCTTTCACACTAAAGCGTTTTCGTTTTAAAACGTATACATTTCGATGCGCTTAGGCCTTCCGTCCACACTAATGCGCCGAGCGTTTTCAGCGAAAACGCTTTTGAAAGTGGATCAAAACGAAAACGTACATATATCCTGTTGGTGTGTACGGTCGAAAACGCATCAAAATATAAACGACAACGGAAAATATCGAATGCGCGTGTGTTTGAAGCGTGCACATCGAGTTCAACTTGTGTCACAACGTGCATTTCTATCCTTTTTGAAAGTTTTAGTGTGGACAGTCGAAGAAGGTATCGAAACGTAGTGAGGACGCGAATTGATCGATGAGTTTTCGATGCCAACGAAAACGCATCATTTTAGAAACTCATTAGTGTCGACAGGGCCTAAATGTTTGCAAGTCAATGATGCTATGAGGGTGCGCGAGTCTTATGTTCATAAGTAACTTCCTTAATTTTTGGACTAAATACCTTTACCTTTTTTTTCACAGTCAAGTCACACTGTTATGACAACCCGTGTAAAAATAGTGGAACATGTCGCGATTATCCTGGTAACTACACGTGTGAATGTCTTCCTGGATTTATGGGAGAAAATTGTCAAGGTAAAATTATGGTGAACTTGCTCTTTCTGATATATTTAACCTGATGTCAACTTATCTTGTTTCACTGACAACTTGAAGAAATTCAAACTCTCCTTATGTCTCGAGATATTTAATTTTCTTTAGTAATAGATCATTGCTACGATGAGCCATGCAAAAACAATGGATCTTGTGTCAACACTGGAAATGCTTACCAGTGTACCTGTCCTGCAGCATTTACTGGACCAAATTGTGAAGGTAAATATTTGAATTTATTATATGAACACCAATGAAATACCAGGTGAGCTTTCGCGCGAAAACTTGATATCTTCACATGTGAAAATAACATGTTATCTTCATTTCTCGTGTTGAAAAAATACTTGTTCGCTGCGCTGACTCGTGAAATATTTTTCAATACTCGAAGATAAATTTCGTATCTCCGCGCGACCATGTTATATCCTCTATGTATATATTCATCTCTTTGACTAAAATGGAGCAGATTGATGCCGCGACTGTTTAATTTGTTAGCCGCGAACACCCTTTAAAAATCATTTTTTTTCCTCTTTTTCAGTGAAGTTACTCTGTTCCGATAACCCTTGCAATAATAACGGAACATGTAACGATCATTTTGATAACTACACTTGTGTCTGTCTACCTGGTTTTACGGGAGATCAGTGCGAAGGTAAAATTTTTTACAAACTTACTTTTCTTAATAAATATCACAGCAGTCTATATGGCGTTAGTGCGTCATACATGTACGTGTTTTAACTTCTGACATTTCTTGCGTTTGGAAATACCTCCTTTTCAGGGATTGATTACTGCTTCGATAAGCCATGTAAAAACAATGGGTCGTGCGTCAACTCTAAAGATGACTACCAGTGCACGTGTTCTGCTGAGTTTACTGGAGCAGATTGTGAAGGTAAATTGTACATTTTTACCTTGTTAAATATAATGAAGCATGTTAAATCCTAGTACGTTCCGAATCACTTTGAAGTCGATGTTTTTTTGTCTTTTTGTTTTTTTTTTCTTTTCTTTTACAGTGAAGTTACACTGCTACGATAATCCTTGCAAAAACAACGGGACATGTCACAATCATTCCAATAACTACACGTGTGAATGTCGGCCAGGTTTCATGGGAGAAGTGTGTCAAGGTAAAATTTCATGACGAATGGGCTCTAAGTCAATAGCCCATGAGGCCGAAGGCCGAATGGGCTATTGACTCAGAGACCATGAGGGCGAGAGGAATAATTGTTTTAGTAAAATCCAACTTGTTGGTCAAAAATAGTGGGCTATAACATATAGCTTAGTAGTTGCTAAACCAATCAGAACGCACCACTGATAATAGACCACTAGTTGGATTTTACTATTTCAAAGCGTTACAGTGTTCAAAGAAAGTGATAACGTTGCTAACTTCACGAACTCCGCATTTATATATTCTTCAGCGATAGATCACTGTTACGATGATCCATGTCTGAACAATGGATCGTGCATCAACTCTCCGAATGGCTACAACTGTACCTGTCCTTCAGAATTTACTGGAGTTAATTGTGAAGGTAAAAATTATTATTATTATTTTTTTTTTGACTAGTGAATTTGACCAGAATGAAATATACATTTCGATGTAAGAAAACTTTTATTAGTTTGTAAATCCGGTTTTTTCTTTGAATATATATGTATTTTTTTAAACATATATAAATACTTGAAAACGAAATGTTTTTTTTTTAAGAGTCGGCTTACCAGGGTTCTTACTTATGATATTTAACAATTATTCCACGAGTTTGCGTTGGATATGATATGGTGGCTAGCCAACGAGGAGCGTAGCGCCGAGTTGGCTATAATCATCTCATATCAACAAGCGCGAGTGGAATAATTGTTTTATTACAAACGCCCACAAAATATCGAGAATGCTTCTCGACTTTATTTGTAAAAACATCCGATTTTTCAGCTTATTTTTCAGCATACAATTACCACATTTGGAGAGCATGGTATAACGGCTCATATGCCATGATGGCTAAGCCAATCAGAGCTTTAGAATTGCATTATTCAATGATTCAGTTTTTAATAAAACAATTTACACCCTTTGAGAAGAGCATCCCCATGTCGTCTACTTGATGGAGGGTTTATCGAGTCGGCTAATATCAAGCAAGCAAAAGAAAGGGTGTATCAATTTAGGTTTCCGGGAAACTACCCACCTACCCCCTAACCCATTATTTTGCCCAAAGTGAGAATGAAGTGGTCATGTTAGCTTAGGGGAGGGGTAGGTGGGCAGTTTCCTAGAAACCTAAATTGATCCGAAAGGGTCTACTGGCAGCGTGAACAATGAAATAGTTTCCAATTTCACTCTCCGTTTTGTTCCGAGCGAAAGGCCTGCATTTGATCACCCCCTCAATCTTTTCTTTATTTATAATTGAGGTATATTGGTTGATTATTCGTTTTTTTTTTATCTCATTTAGTTCATGATTTATGTCGCCTAAATCCTTGTAACAGCGGAGGAACTTGCAGTATGTCACAGGATCATTATAGATGTGACTGCCCAGATGGTTTAACTGGGGCAGTTTGTGAAAATGGTAAGATGAGAATACATTCCTCCGGCAACGTTGTTTGTTATCACGTTCTGTTGAAGGGGCCATGTTGCACTATTTTCTACCTATTTGAAACGTTAAAATGTGTCCTGGCATCAATTGCATTCCTAAAGTAATGGGCTAGTTTTTGTTCCGGTTGTCAGTTGCATTGGATGGTAAGGATGGACATGGATTTAACCTTGAAAAAGTTGAGCCGACTTTTTCAACTTTAAATTCTTTGCCCGCAAAAATCGCCAAAATTATTATAGTTAGTGCTTTTTCATGAAAATAACGTGTTCGATATCTTCTTCATAAGTCTACAGGGGAATTTTTGCATGGGTAAACTTGCCTATAAGTCGAGGTCAAAATTTTTCTCGAGCGAGAAGTGCAAGCTAGAAATTCGTTATGTTTACGGCGGCAGAGCTAGAGCCTACTACCGGAACCGGAAACAAGAAGCGAAGGACTTTGAGGAAGTCTAGTGCATGGGTTAAGGCACTAAGTAATGACACAGAATTGACCTAAAACAGCAATATCCTTGTGATATGGCCAGGGGCAAAATTCAACAAAAATTACCAAATTTTGTCGCAGAAGGTTTGCTCAATTAAAAAAAAAGGAAAATATGTCTGCCCAAGAACTTTTCCGGTTTGTCCAACTTTAGCCTGAGAAAACAGCCGCCATTTGGCGACGCTGCCATTGGTTTCCCCGCCAAATGACGTCTGAGAAACGCGCGCTGAAATTCCATACTGATGACGCGACACTACCCAGATCTGGGTAGCGCTTTTGGTTGGTTGAATCAAGTTTCCCACGCGGCACGACCAATCAGAAACACTAACCAGATCTGGGTAGTGACGCGTCATCAGTGTGGAATTTCTGCGCTCGTTCCTCAGACGTCATTTGGCAGGGAAACCGGTGATGGCGTCGCTAAATGTCGGCCGTTTTCTCAGGCTACTCCAGTGGTGACCTAGTCGGTCCTTTCTGAAAAGAACAATTATTCGCAGGCTCGAAACTGTCTGTCTGCCTTCAATCTATTTTCAAATGAAGGGTTTATCATATGTGGAAGACGAGTCTTTGCAATTTTCGTCCCAAAGCAAGTTTAACCCAGAAAATATTTATGATCAGATGATTATTATTTACGCATAAAGTGAGATCATGTTTATGTTTTCAGATGTTAATGAGTGTTATAACAGCCCTTGTGTGAATAGTGCATCCAGTTGTACAAACACTTTTGGTAGCTACGAGTGTAACTGCGCTTCAGGCTTCACAGGAAGACATTGTCAAATCGGTAAGCTTTCGCCTGATTGATTGCTAGGGGAGGGGAGCAAACAAAGACCTCTTACCAACCTAGTTCGAGGGCCGTAAAGTAATTGTTTTGATTTCTTGTTTTTGTTGTTGGTGTTGTTGTTGTTGTTGTTGTTTTGCCTCGTTTTATGGCAGATGCGCCAGGCGTGCGGGCCGTAAAATCCAGGTTCCATAACAGTACGGACCAACAGGATGAGGCCCCAACTGGATATTTTGCAGTGTATCTACGGGTTTAAATGGAGAAGGGGAGTTTTTTTCAGTTAAAACCGAAGGGCCATTAATGATCGAAGCTCGTCAACTCCAAGCGCAGTTAAAAAAGATCAGTGGCTTTTAAATCCTGGCATTTAACGGGGAAAAGGCATTCGCTGACTGACTTATAAAACATATTCAAAGTTCATTACGTTCAAACAGCAGCTTTACAAAGCTCTTCCATCTTCTTTAATACTCAGAGGTTTGTACCGAGAAATTCTATCCACTAAGTTGATCAATCACAGTTTTCCGGTCATGAAAGATATTAAATAAACGGTAAAAATTGAGCAAGCAATCTTTTTACAAAATTACTTTAATGAAGATAAAGTGCATTAAGATAACTAACCATAACTGAACATGGAATTCTCACTGTATGTCGTATTCTCAAAAGACGTGTCGTATTCGTTTCTCGTAGGAATATCAGCTGACGTTTTTGACGTCCTCCTGTTGTTCGATGGCTCTTCGTACTTAGGATCAAGTCATTTTTACCAAACCCTGCTCTTTGCAAAGGCTTTCCTCTCCAACTATAATATATCTAAGAGAGAAACAAATGTGGCCGCTGCCGTATATGCCAACAATACCACTGTCGGTTTCAACTTTACGCAACACTTCAGTTACGAGGCGGTAGCTGCTGCTGTTGAAAGGATACCTTTCCTTGACGAGGCACCACTTAATCTTGGTAACGCCTTGAACATTGCCAGGCAAGAAATCTTTCCAGCTGGAAGACCCAACGTACCTGACGTCCTTGTGATATTCGTTAGTTCCTCCCTAAGTAACGGGTTTGCTGCAATATCGCAAACTCTTCGAGATGAGGGAGTTAAGATAATAGTCATCGCTACTGGCAGCAATTTTAACATACCGCAGTTGGAACAAGTTGCAAGCACCCCAGCATCTCATTATTTGGTCACAACAAGCTATCAGCATATGGACACCATGGAAAATTCTGTGCGTGGTGCGGTTTCTCAAGGTGAATTTGTCTTCCTCTAAAATTTTCAATAGTCTGCTGCCAGCTTTTCTAGAGAAAGTTGTCATTTAAAGTCAGTTCTATAGAAATGGACAAAACATGATCTCCATTTTTTTCGGCGAGCAATATGTCCGTATGAGTTCCTCTTCTTCTTAACATTCATTAGTGTTAAGTGAAATTACCCGACTACGATTAAATGCATACAATACAGTCTTCATCAGTTGAAACTCTCATCACATGAACTCAAAGTTAGACTAAACGGACATGTGTTCTTCATCGTTAAGAAATGAGATATTCATTCACTCTTAATTGCCCGTTGAAGTAATGACTTTAAGTCCATAATCAACATCGGAAAACTCTAACCAAAAAGTAAATCGTCTTTTTTTCTCCAGCTGTGAATCCATGCTCCTCATTTCCATGTCAGAATGGAGGTAACTGTTCAAGAACGGGAAGCAACTTCACATGTTCATGTCCTAGCGGATTTAAAGGTCCCACCTGTGAAATAGGTATTTAATACTTGCTTCTTAAGACAGGAAAGGCTAAATTGAATTTTGCAAGAAAAAAGAATGCCAGATGCTTATAACGAGTTGTCTTGATATGCTCTATTTCTTTTCTCCAGTTTAGCTGAGCTTAAAATTGAACAGGAATCTATATCTTGAAGAATTTCGAGAAAACGTAAAGAAGTATACGGTTGCGAAGGAATGCTTTGTCATTTCCGGAAATTCCTATGCTTCGAAATACCTGGCAATCAGGGAATGTATTTATGTATTAGATATCTAACATGCTCAGCAAACGTGTTACAATTATTTTTAATCAGACATCAACGAATAAACGCCCACTCTCAAGGTCCAAAAATTTAATAAGCGCCCAGGGCGTTTAATCGAATAAGTACGGTATGTATTAGATATCTAACATGCTCAGCAAACGTGTTACAATTATTTTTAATCAGACATCAACGAATGTATTGCTAGCGAAGCAAATTGCAAAGACCAAAAACATTGTGTGAATACCAGAGGTGGATACCAGTGCATTTGTCCTGGTGGTCAATATGGAGAGAGCTGTGAATACAGTAAGTAAAATTAACACAGTATTTTCACGTTTATAGTTACAAGCCATTGATTTTATTATTATTATTTTTTTTCAAGAATAGATCTTATTCACGATGTCCGCCATCTTTGCACGCGCTCAAGGACTGATGGGATAAAGGCAATGTCACGTGGTTTCTCGGGGGGAAAACAAGTGAAAAAAAATTTCCAATGGAAGAAATCGCGGTCGAGTGCGTTTATTCTAGACAACAAGAAATGAAGACTTTCTCATTTTAAAGACGATAACGTCAAAATTTGGGTGGAAGTCCGTAGATGTCCTCATGGCAAACAGTAATGACGTAAATCTTGCTCATGTACATTTTGAATGACTATGGAATCGTCATCTTGTTTTGATAGTATAAACAAACTTGACCGTGATCACTCGTATTGGCAAATTTTATCACTTGTTTACCCCCTGAAATACCACGTGACATAGCTTTTATCCCATCAATCCTAGAGCGCGTGCATAGATGGCGGGCATTGTGAATAAGGTCTATTTATAACACTTTCAGACATGGCGTTAATATATTCTCCCGCAAGTTAATGAGATTCCCACACACACACAAAAAAAGTATTATTTCATTCCTACTATACTTCTTTGGCATACAATTTTCAGCTTCTGGGATCGTAAGCCATGAAAAAGGGATTCAGTAGAATGGTGTTTTATCCCTGTGTATTAATCCTATTATTTAACTTTAGGCATCGATACAAAGTTTGACCTCGCCTTTTTAATTGACGGCAGTCAAGTGGTGACTGAACAAAATTTCCTGAGCTTCACATCCTTCGCCTATGCGATCAGTGCGTCTTTAAATGTCTCAAGGGATGAAACACATGTCAGTGTGGCCATATATGGAGCCGCTCCAGCCCTGATCATACACAATCAGTACAACCAGTCCGCCATAGAGCACGTCTTAGACAAAATACCTTATACTGCAAGTCTTCAGAGTAATTTGGGTGAAGCTCTTTTACATCTTGCTTCGAAGCTGTACAACACAAGTAAACCGCGACCAAATACCACAAGAGTCTTGGTCATCCTAACAGCTAGCAAATCTCAAGACGATCTCTTGGTTCCGTCCAACATGCTGCTCAATCATTACAATGTAAAAGTGTTTGTCCTTGCGGTTGGTAATCAGTATAGCAATGGGCAACTGAATGAGGTCTCTTCAGATCCAGACGCAAACTATATCCATACTTCCCCCACTGGGCATGATCTTTCAACGCAAGTTATTCCTTTCAGGGAAAATTTATTCTTCGGTTAGTATACACCTTTCTCTTTCCTCTCCTTAGTTATTCTTTTAAAAACAAATGATGAGAAATTTGTATAATTGTTCATTATTCAAATTAAACTATTTCCCTTAACTTTCAGCTGTAGATCCATGTTCTAGTGGTCCCTGCATGAACGGCACATGTCAATCTTTTGGGAGTGGATACACTTGCCTTTGCCAGCCGGGGTATTCAGGGATAAATTGCGACCAAGGTGCGACTATTTTACTTTTATTTTATTTATTTCTTTATTTAACAAGCATAATAACCACATTCCGACCTAAATTCAGATGAAATATTGCAGCAGATATTTATTGAACAAGCTGGGTTAAAAATACAAATTTCTGTATCTGTTTTTCTCTCGATCAAGCTTCTGACGTGAGAAAAAAAAATTTACTAAAGCTTGATTATCGCAAGTAAACCTCGAAGGGGCTGTAACAGTTAAGATAAAGTGTAAAATCGCGTGAGTAGTATTAAAACAATCTCTCGTTCTAAAATCACATCGAGTAAAATATTAATGTGATGGAAGATGCTTTGGAAACTATGATACATTCAACTACTAACTTTTAAATTTTCCACAATGTCTGCCTAACAAGGTAGTCATGACTACAACTGTGGTTAGTAAGACTGCCCAGCACGAAATGTTTCGCTGTCAATGATTGTTCTGTTTGTTTTCTTAGTCAATGATCCATGCAGTCCTGATCCCTGTAAGAATCATGGTTCATGTCAAGTGTTAAGGCTGAATTCTTATCACTGTGCATGCCCTGAAGGATGGACTGGACCTCACTGCGAAGACGGTAATAGAGAACACAAGAAAAAAATTGATGTTAAATTTGCATGGGAGATGTTTGTAACAGAGAGGTCGTTTCCTCTTTTTCTAGATGTCAAAGAATGCTCAATGGCCGACAATGTCTGTCAGAATGGAGGAACATGTGATGAGAGACTGGGTTACTATATTTGTAACTGCCAACTTGGATTTGCTGGGAAAAACTGCACCAAAGGTATGGCTGACAGCTTCAGTATCAATTGCACACATATGAAGTGCGTATTTCTCCATTCAGAACATTAGAACCATCAGCGTTAACTAACGTTTACTTAACGTTGCATAATAAAAAATAGGTTTTATATAGATGAACGGCTGGGCGGTGTATGGGCGGGAGTTCGAACGGACGAATGGATGGAGGAACGAAGTGAGCCAGTCAAGGAGCTCAAAGTACACCCGTGAAGCGGGGGCCAACTTTTGTTCCCCAGCATTGAAAATTGGCTTTCATTTTTCTCTACAAAATAGAAAGAAATAATACTAATAACAATAACTTGCGCGTGAACAATCCCCGTCTGAGGGGGGCAATCCCGAGTTCCTCGTAATATTATATACATGTAAATGCAGCTTGCTTATTTTAAGTTGTCCATCCCAAGAACAACACCCAAGAAAACAAACAACACACCGTGTAACATACTTACGTACTACCATTTGTATTCGACAGTGTTCCAGGAAACCATGATTGACCTGGTGTTTATGATAGATGATTCCACTGTTCAGCCTCAGGCACACAGAAATATTTCCAATCAAATAGTACAAGTGATCAAGTCCACGTTGAGCTACTTTCCAAGTCAAAACACAAGGGTTGGACTAGTCCTCTATGCAGCTGATACTACCACAGTGGGTAACTTTAATGCCACGAGAAACGAAACAAATCAAGCCCTGGACCTGCTACCACACCTTCCTGAAGGGACATTCACCGGCAAATCACTTAATTACACAAGAGAGCATTTCTTTAACAATAGCCGTGCGAACGCACATCGCGTCCTAGTAGTGTTCACCGATGAGACTTCTAACGATGTTGTTTCGGTTGCGTCTAAATTGCTGCGTGACATGAATGTAACTATCATCGTAGTTGCATTGGGGAATTGGTTCGATGTCACGCAAGTCAACAACATGGCCAGTCTTCCCCGCTCAGCGACGGTGCTTTACACTACACACGTCGAAATAATGGAAATACCTTGGAGGGTTCATGAAATGATCGGCGAAGGTATGTCAAGGGTATAAAACAACGGAATTAGAGGTAGATAGATGCTATAACTCAACTTCTGAGCAACCCATGTGAAAATAACGATACTTGTATCAACTCCCTGTATGACTACCGATGTTCATGTCCTAATGGCTTTACCGGGTCATGTTGCGAGGAAGGTAAGATAACAATTTGTTTGTTGTCTTTACTAAAATGATTAAAAAGGAAAGAGAAATATTGGAGTTCATGATGCTAGTGTTGAGGACAACGACGACGACGACGATGATGATGATACTGGTGATGATGTTGATGATAATGATGATGATGATGGTAGATCTAAGGGTGGACGGGGGACGGGCAGACCGGACAAAGGTAGGGAGGGGCGAAGGTAGTCGATCAAGGAACACAAAGTTCATCTCAGAATTCCTCTCCTCTTTATCCACAGCTGTTGACCATTGTTTCAGCAACCCCTGTGCAAATAATGGTACTTGCAACAACTCCCTTCATGGCTACCGATGTTCGTGTCCTGAAGGCTTTACTGGGTCACTTTGCGAGGAAGGTAATGAAGCAATTTGTTTGTTTGTCTTTACTAAAATGATTGAAAAGAAAAGAGAAATATTGGAGTTGTTAATCATAATGCTAATGTTGAGGACAACGACGACGATGATGATGATACTGATGATGATGTTGATGATGATTATAATAATGATGATGATGATGATGGTAGATCTAAGGGTGGACGGGGAAAGGGCAGACCGGACGAAGGTAGGGAAGGGCGAAGGGATTCGATCAAGGAACTCAAAGTTCATCTCAGTCTTCCTCTCCTCTTTATCCACAGCTGTTGACCATTGTTTTAGCAACCCTTGTGCAAATAATGGTACTTGTAACAACTCCCTTCATGGCTACCGCTGCTCGTGTCCTGAAGGCTTTACTGGGTCACTTTGCGAGGAAGGTAAGACAACAGTTTGTTTATTTTTACTAAAATAATTGAAAAGAAAACAGGAAATATTCGATGCTGATGACGAAGTGACCACCACATTCGTCGGTGGTCAAGGTGAATTAAGAAATGAGATTCCTGCGCTCGCTCCAGCGAATTCCTTTCTCTAGCTTTTTTTAATGAAAGTGTTATTCGATGTCTACGTTAAGAATGGAAAACATAGCATTGTTAAACAGATGGTAGGCATATTTTTAAAAATCTGTTCTCACGCGTCAGGTCAAAAAATACAAAAAATAGATGCAGTGGCGGATCCATTTTTAGATGTTCGAAAATCCTAGGAGAGGCAGGCCAAGAAATTTTACGCAAATGTTCCCCTCCCCTTATTTTTAGAAAACGAAAGATAGAGGTCCGAAGGGCCGGCCCCTCCCCTTTTTTAGATCGTCCCCCCCCCCCCCCCTTATTTGAAGGTCTGTATCCGCCACAAGACAGCAGTAAGAATCTGCCCATCACTCCATCCATGGTTTCGTCATGAAAATTTCGCAAGTCCTGCACTGTGTCTGTAAAATTTATAATTAATGGATTTTAATACTAATGTAGGTCAACGCTAGGGATATGCTTTTGTATAGCTCATTGAAACATGTCAGATCTGATTAGTTCCCTGCCTGTGTATATTTATTAAAAAGCATGACATGTGTTGTGACCTGTTTGTTTCCTCTTGCTTTGTTTTGTTTTGTTATTATTTCGTTTTTTTAAAATTTTATTTATATATTCTTTTACAGTGGACAATGAAGATAACTGTGGCTCTTCACCGTGCGTTAATGATGGAACGTGTATAACTGTCGGGCGCAGTTACCAATGCGACTGCCGTCGTGGATTTTATGGAAGACAGTGCCAGCTTGGTAAGTCGTCATAAGACTGCAACTACCATTTGCTGAATTTTAGAACGCTATATATCAATAAATGTGTGTTAAAAATCCAGACGCATCGAAAAGAAAGCTCTACATTTTCACCAAAACAAACGATTTACCAAAAGTAAGTAAATAAATCAAATAATGTGTAATTCACTTCTTATCTCAGGTTGTGGATTCCGTGAGTTAGGTCTTAAAGTGCCGAATACGCGACGAATTCCAGATAAAGACATTACTGCCTCGTCGAGAAAAGTCGAAGGGCGCTCGTCATACCGTGGACGAATTGGAGTAGAAAAATTCGGATCGTGGGAGGACGGATGGTGTGCAGCATCTACAGACACAGCACCCTACATTCAAGTGTTCTTTGGTAAGCCTTAGTGTATTAACGCTCCATCCTAGGTAAAGTGGTGAAATTTAGGATGGCTCATAGGTAATTGCAATTCGTCAAGGACAATCCACCGTCTAAGTAAGCTGTGTTGAAAAAAGTCTTTGTATAAATGGATTAACTCTTTGACGTCTGCCTTGGTCGTTTTGGTCCATACGGACCCAGCCATATTATTCTTCCTGGACCAATTTCCATTTAACCTATTAAGAAGGTAATTAGAAGAATCAGCGAGGATAGCTCTTTCCGCAGGTACCACATTTAGCACATTTTGGCCAATCCTGACAGAGTTACAGAAAAAAAAAAAAAAACAAAACAAAACAAGCAACATTTTTGGAAAAAGGTCCACTGCTAATTTTGCTATTTACCTAGTACTCTTCAGATATTAATTTTTTCCCTTTTTTGGAAAGAAAGCCGACCAAAATTTCATTCAAAGTAAAGACCATAAAGTGGGCAACAAAACAGGCTGTAAAGAGAAAAGCAAAGGGAAAAGGAGGAGAGCGAGAAAAAAAAATCGAAATAGATTCGCTTAGATTGGCTTATAGGCATGAGCGAAAAACAAAAAAGAGCGGTTTAATTAGGTCCAATTAACAGGATAATTTGGTCCAAACTGCGATTTTTCCCCTAAAACTTGGCTGACGGCAAAGTGTCAGCCTTTGGTTGTTGATAAGGTTAAGGTTTTTTTTTTCCTATCTTCACCGAAACCAACAAAAATGTTGATTGGAGAGACTGTTTAATAACTGCATATTCTTACCAACACTCTTTCTTTAGGATACCTCACGAATGTCACCGTCATTGAAACAGAAGGGGTCAGGGATGGAGCCACACCTATGTGGGTTGAAAGCTTTTACGTATCGACCAGAAACAACTCAGAAACTGAATCGTTTGTCAACTATACTGAAGGTGGAAACATCAGAATTGTAAGTTTTCTTTATACATTTTTCTTTAAATCTTTATACCTTGCCTTCTTTTTCATCCTACGATAAGAGAAGAAAACAAGACACTCTTTAATTTAACGCGCTAATTCATCGTCACATTACGTCCCCCAGTGACATTAAGCCTTGACAAATGTGGCGTAGCTATTGCAGCCTGTTCAAATACGTAAAGGGGATTCCTTACGTGGTAAAGGTTCGGCAGGAACAATATTGAATAGAAGCCTCGAAGGGACTTTCTCCTTTATCTACAGCCTCAATACCTTTTTCACAAACAAAACGACAAACAGCAGTAACAGCTATGACAATCTAAGGTTTATTGTAATGGTACTAATAAATGTTGTCTGATTTGCAGTTCAGAGCAAATGAGGATATCAATGGCAGAAACGTTTCTCTCTATGGAACAAGCGCTCATTACATTCGAATCCACCCAGTCACCTACCATGGGACATCACCTTGCTTGCGCATGGCAATGTATGGATGCGACTCAGGTAAAGTTTCAGAAGATGACATGTAAATAAAATGTATATTTACCACTGTGAACATAGTCTTGTGGATTGGCCTAACCTGATACACAAATAGAATCTTTTGTTGGCTGTTTTTTGTTAATTATTTTATTTACTTTTAGAGGACTTTCCTTCACTGGGCGACGTGCTTCAACGCTCCGATGACGAGCCAAAGGAAAGGTCATCTTGGTTTGATACTCGTTACGCAGGCGAGTTAAAGTTTCAGGCTTTGTTGAATTAGATTTGCTTGTTTGTTTCTGTTTTGTTCCTTCTTTGTTTTTTAATTTTTTTTATTTGTTTTCTTTTTCTTTACGAGTTTCCCTCACCCATTAGTCCATTTTACAAGCTAAAGTTGGCCTTGTTTTTTGATGTAGCCCTTTATGTTTTGTGAACTGTGAAAGCTTTGAACCCAGGAGTCATTTCAAAAGTAGGTTGAGTTTGATCGTCCGAGTGAACGTAGCCTTGAATAGGACAGTTATTGTTGACAGTGACTGACGTTTCGACAACCTGTGCGGAAGTCGTCTTCAAAGTCAACGTGAGTTGTATCACGTCAGTTGATGGTATTATACTCTGGTTATTGACCTGATTGGTCAATTACGTCGCGATGTTACTGGTCCTCTGTCAGTTAAGCCGTGATGTTATTGGCTGTGAAGACTCGTAATGTAATTGGTGCGTTTCGATCCATCTATTGTCATAGTCAAACAGTCGTCTATTGTTAGTCCGATTGTCAGTAGTCCAGTCGTCATTCTGGTAGTTAGTTTTGCTTGATTTCGTCAATAAGTCGTTTGTACGGTGGCGGTAACAGCTGACTACGATTTAAGGGCGTTTATTCTAAGTTAGTAAACCAGCTTTCTAAAGTGAGTCGTTTTATTACATGTTGTTCTTATGCTAACAATTTTGTTTAAAGAATGATTTCCATAAGAAACGAAAGGAGCACTTTATCAACACAAGGTCAACCTCAGCTTCATGCTAACTAACTCAAAGGCTAGGATACTAGACTAAGAACTGTAGAATGGTTATTCTTTCCTTCGATGACACTTCGGCGTGGTCCTTCAAAACGAATCACAGACGTAGTGGTCAATTGGTTGTGTAACCTCGTCCCTCTACACATTTTAAGTTTGTTAACAACCAGCGTCACCACACCTAAGAAAATTAGGTTAAGCTATTTCTGTTAACCCGGGGCCTAAATCGTATATATGAAAGCACGCGCTCTGGTAGTGGCGAGCCAAATGAAGCCTGTTAACCGAGGTGAATGTAATAACATTGTTTCTCTTGCTTCCTTTACAGTTATACCAGCAGTGATTTTTATTGCCCTGCTGACAGCTGCAATAATTTTCCTTCTTCGATCATGTCGGTACGTAAGTGAATGTAGCGTGCACGTTAGTCGTGTAATAGTACAAAGTTTTCATTTGTGGCTTGTGCCATGCTTGTTGATAGGAAACAGAAGCAGTTATATTTAGCAAGTCTTTGTCATTTCTTTATAAGAAAGTATAAAAAAAACAAACAAACAAACAAAAAGCTGCTGGTAGGGTCATTTATCAACGCCCGCAAAGGATACAATGGTACAAGGGCCATGCACTAAAATTATTAAGTTTGCACCCCTTATAGGGATCGGTCAATGGTATGAACCATAGAGTGCTTTCCTCGACCGTCTGTTGAAGTTTATTCATTTGCATTCCTTTGTTTAGAAGAAAATATGCAGGGAAGCTTAAGGGATATTCAGAGCTCGATGAAGATGGCATCTATGAGAATATTCCTATTGACGCATCAATGTTTGAAGTACAGACTGTGGCCATAGACATTGGACCTGAAAAATCATCAAGTGCTGTATACGGCAAAGGAGTCTGGAGAGAGACAACTTTCTCTCTATCTCGACAAGTGCATCAATACCACAATGCCGTATACGAAGAAATGGATATCGACAAGACCGAATATGAGTCGCAGACGCTCAAGGTAGACGTGGGTGCGGACGAAGTTGCGAAAGACGTATCTTACACAAAGAGTATTTTACCTGAAGATACAACCTCTCTTAGCGGATTAGCATTTGAGTCGCAGCTAATGAACGAAATATACGACGACCCCTTTCCTGGTTTCTTCTCTACTGATGCAGAAGAACAGGAAGAGATTTACGAAGCTCGTTATCAAAATCTGGTAAACGAAGAGGACTTTGAAGACGATTACGATGATGTTTTTCCCAATTTTCCATCAGATGATACCCATAGAATGACCTTGGAACTCTCACCCCAAAAAACAGTGTTAGTCGAGGGAATCTTCTCTGAAGAAAACAAGGTAAACATGTATCAGGGTTGTATCTGGGGTATTTGAGGGGTAGAAGCTCCCCCCTAAAAAAAATGCTCAGTTCCCCCCCCCCCCCCAAAAAAAATTGTTATCATTACAGTATATAGATAACTTTAGTAAAATCCAATAAGTGGTTTATTATCAATGCTGTGTTCTGATTGGTTTAGCTAAAGTTGTTTTGTCTCGATATTTTTGACCAACTAGGTCAGTGCACACTCTGTAACGTAACATTTCTCAAAATTGTGTCTCAAAATGCACCAGATTGCATCTCCGCACATATTCATTTCAAAAAATTTCCAGGGGAGGCATGCCCCGGACCCTGCTGGGAAACGCCTGCCCTTCGGTCGCTTGGGACTTCTCCCTGAAACGATATATCCTAGAGAGAAGCCTGTGGGATCATTAATTATTTTAGCAGCCTCGATCGGGGCGGAAAGATTTTATGCAGATTGTTGCTGTTGAATACCAATAGTGTATGTTCAAGGAAATTTATATCAATAACCATCGCTTAAGACAAGATCCCGATGGGTTTCCGACGATTTACATGTAATTTTGATTGTGCAAACAACAATGATTTGTTTCCAAATGTTTATTCACCCATGCCAATTCACACATTCTTACTCATAGATTTTCAGCTTCAACCGTATCAATACTTTACCGAGCAGAGTTTCAACATTACAACGTGCAGGGAACACTCTACCAAATGGAAAAAGCGCTTCCTTGCAAAATGGAAGGTCCTCATCTACAGGTGGAAGGAATACACTGTCAAGTGTAGGAACTAAATCCAAACGTAATAAGACGAACACAGGATCTGGAGTGCGAAAATAAGCGACTTGCAGGTGATTAATATGAAAACTGTCATCGAATTAAGGCAAACGGTTGGAGATGTCTCTCTAGCATCGGAGACCTTAAGATCGGCGTTAGGTCATCTTACTGCAACTGGCAAACCGCGGTTTGCGGTTAGCGGTCTCATATTAGCTGTCTGCCCATATTTGAGACTTTAAGATTCGCGGGTGGTCGCTGGCGGCTGCCATGTTTCTTTTCATTCAAGTGTTGACTTCTATTTTCGCTTAGGAATCGTCTTCAAAATTACGTTTCGATGAAAAAGAATCCAGTAATTAATAAGCAAAAGATATCCAGAAAACAGTATATCCTCTCAAACGTAGGATTCTTAGGTTTCAATAAAAACCTTGCGGTAATTCACTTACCACAAGAGCGTAGTCTAGCCGTATACAGCTGTTTCGAGAAAGGTTGTCCGAAGAAATGTGCACGCGACAATCCCGAAAGGTAATATGGGATATGATCAATACACTGTTCGTAACGACTGAACCTGTCGAACCTACTTTTGTTGCTTTCCTTTAGTACTCGCAAACATATGTTCGTGGCCTCCCGTAGCATTCTTTCAAATTTCTTTGAAGAAAAGTGGCCTCAAAACCACCCACAATGCTTTTCGGGATTGTCGCGTGCACTTTTTCCGACAACCTTTCTCGAAATAGCTGTATGCGTAAACCTCCGACCCAACAGCAAGTGACCAGTCACGTGACTTCTTGAAGTTCGGGAGAACTACCGAAAAACCTGGATGTTGACCTCATTCAGACCGAGGGTGGAAGGGGGGGGGGTTGAGCTACCCCCCTTGCTAAAAAGTCGAACCACTGCAAAACCGTCCAAGCTAAGGCCAATGAACTTAGCGACTTGTCCTTAAATTTAACTGGGAATATTTTAAAGTCGTCGTGACGCGTACGTCAATATTGATTGGCAACCGAGTTTGCATTTTGTCCAAAAAATTGGTGTTATTTCTATTTTTACTTATTGAATTCTTATATTACCCTTAATTTAGCATTATTTTATCTAAGTTATTATAACTGCTAATGAAATCCAGGTTTTTTATTGACCACTGAGTTTGAGACAAAAATAGTATGACCACATGGCAGGTGCTGAGTTAAATTTTCGACAGTGCTCATTTCTAAGGAATTTATTTGTTTATTTTATTTTCTCTTTCTAAGCATCCTTTTATACTCAGATTAAGTTTTCTGTTAAAAATATCTCAATTTATACGATTTTAAGTAAAATGGAAGACTTTTAAATAATTAAAATGGCGGATCCAAGATGGCTGATGCTTCCAGTTTCTTTTTATTTATAAATGACGTCATCATGACATCACTGCTATTGTTAAAAATCATTCAAGTGTTAGCTAACTTCTTCGATTTCATCACCGACCTTGCTATTTAAGTATTTCCCGCTTTATGTCTACTTTGGGGGAAATATGGATTCTGCCAATAAGTTAAATAATATGACGTCCGAATGACGTCAGATCACGTCATTGTGTCACTCTACTTATGCCCAGACGTTGGAAATGTGAGTATATTATTTTGGTGGCTGTAGGATGAGCGGTTTTGACACTCCTTCCCCGGTCGCAGGAGGCAAAAAAACCCTGGTCTGAATAGGGTTAACGTATGCAAAAGTTTACTTTTTTTATGTCATGCAATGTCTATTGGGCTAACTAGTAGGGAATAAGAAAACCGAGTAGACCTATCGGTGATTTTAAAAGACTTTAAATATCAGTTGCGTTCTTAAAGTTCATATTCTCGTTACTATCATCATTGCCATCGTCATCATCGTCCTCATTAATTTTACTTTATTACTATTTCAGGTTAATGTCGTTCGGAGGCCAAACTAACCATTGGAGTTTTTTGACGAAGCAGAAGACAGATTGTTACTCCACCACCGCACCGCAAAGTAAAAGTTATCGGTGGACCACAGGAGGTCGAGCCTGACGTCAGGATATGTTCAAACATACTTGATTAACGTATTTGTGTCGTTATATCATTAAATGATCACTGACATCACATTGATCATATATCTATTACAATTAATCCGTTTTGGAGATTGAACGTGGCTCTGAGACGGTTGTGTCGAGTTGAACTGTAAGATTGCCTTAGTTTCCTTTCTTGGCCATTTCGACGTCGCACTGGAAAAATGTGTAAAAATTCGTTTTCACGCGCAATCCCTCACAACACGAATTTCATAATAAACCCGACAATCGTAATTGATGACTATTATATGACAATGTCATTGAAATATAAATGTATATAACGTTTTCCAGTGCGACGTCGAAATAGCCAAGATGCCCTTTCTAGCAGTGGTAACATCAAATTCGCTCAATTGTTCATAGTTTTGCTGTTTTTCATAATGCCAACCTTAGGATATATATTACTCTAACTACTACATTGTACATCTAATTCTAATTCTATTCATACTTCATGCATGTCTTGAGACCTTTCGATGTCTTGCGCCGTCAAAACTGAACTAAACTGTCGTAACACAACCCCTTTAAGTTGGACAGGGGATTATGACACAATAGCGACCACATTCAAAGATCTTAAAACAGTTATACGAAATTAGACTTATCAACAAAATAGACTTAAAAATATAATAGTTATTACATTTTATTCCAAACCCTCATGCCTTTATAGTAGACCTTATTCACAAAACTTGCCATCTTTGCACGCGCTTAAGGACTGGTGCGATTGAAGCGACGTCACGTGGTTTCTCGGCGTCGCTGTTGCGGTCGCGCGGTCTTGTTTGTTTATTCCATACAACAGAAAATCTATAACTTTTCATCTTAGAGACGATAATGGCAAATTATGGGTGGAAGCGATCATTGTTACTTCTTTGGATGCAGTAGCGACTGTAGATGTGGCAGGTATACAGAACACATGGTCACAGGTCACAGGTCAGAAGTGCAGGACACTGCTCTATTGATTTATAACGGAGATAGGCAGTTTCCTTTAAAACTTAAAGTCTACTTCAGATTGTGGTTAGGGCTAACCTGCACTTGTGAGCTGTGAGCTGTGACCTGCGCTTTGGACCTGCCGCTGTAGATGTCCTCACAGCAATCAATAATGACGTAAACCTTGACGAAACTCGACCCATATATTTTACATGACTAATAAATCACCGTTTTGTTTTGAGAGAATAAGCAAACTCGGCCGTTTTTATTCTTATTGGCAATTTTTTTTTTTCATTTTGTTTACCTCCTGAAATACCACGTGACATTGCTGTTATACCATCAATCCTTAAGCGCATGCAAAGATGACGGGTATCGAAGTGAGATCATGAATGAGGTTTGTTTCTTTGCCGGAGATAAAACCGTCTCTAGCTAATTGATTCTATGGTAGTTAGAAGAATTAATTGGTTGGTTTGCCTGTTGTCAGTCAGATGTTTCCATTACCTGCTAGTATTTTTTATTACTTCAGTCTGTAAATAAACATCTTATATTGCATAGCAATAAAATGAAAGTGCTTTCTAAATATTTGCTTGTTTTATGAGAGAATAAGACTATAGCTAACCGAATGTTTCTTAATCTACACCCTCTCCAGATCTTGGCTCCTTGTATTGCGGGCTCAGCCTCCGGTGTCAGGCCGCAGTCATGGTGGAGAGGAGAGAAAAACCCATCAATCAACCTCGTCCCCAGGGCGCCTCAGTCCCTGGTTTTGTTTCCCGCCCCACCTCCAAAACCACGGAAAAGCGCCCTGGGGACGAGGCTGCCCATCAATATTTTTCAAAAAGTAACGATAAGCAAAACGAGATTCGCAAACATATTAGAGAGAAGCGTATTAGAGAAACTGGACTTTTTTACATCTTGTCCTCATGAAACCACGCAGGGAGAATTCCACTAACTCAATATGTTGCTTTGTATTCTTTTCACACCTGGTTATCTAAACTTTAGGAATGAACGTCACTCTATTTCTCTTATTTTTTATTCAAAAATCACGCCCCTGTGTCTTTCATACCAATAAAAAACAATAGGGACTTAACTAGAAGGTATCTAGTTGCGTTCTCCTACCCCGATTACAGCAAACTTAACAGTAATTGGTACACGTACACCAACCCACGGCTTAAAACCCACGGCCTGGCAAGTACCCAACGCATGCGCAAAGCCATATCATCCGGGCGTTGACAGACTGCTGCCTCGACCCAGGGGCGTATTAGGATCA